CCTGGGATGAGAAATGCCCCCACCCTGCATGAGGCTTTCTGACAACATTGTCTGGAATTTGCATTACGAACACAAGTCAGAGATGAAAATACAAAACAAAAAACATCATTCAGACATATCCCAAGTGTTAAGAGAGCAAAACAAAAATGATTTTGTTCCCCAAAACAAAAACGAAGCTTGAAAAATGTTGAAGATGGTTAGAGGCCTCCTATTGACCCGATGAACAGCTGACCTACAACAATAATCAAAGGACCTACTGTACAAAGCTAACAAGCAAATCTACCATTGTTTTATGATTACATTTTATGTTTTTGTATACATATGATACAGTTAATGCGTCCAAGGCAATGTGATCCCATGAGCCATTATTATTTATCATAATATACATAATGAGTTTTTTTTTTTTGCAACAATGTTTACGTTTGATCACTGCTGCACTTTAAGAAAATGGGAATATCATGGGAGCTGAACAAAATGAAATTTCATCTTATAAAAACACTCTGTTTGTACAAAATGACAATAAATGTTTTCTAGTCTACTCTAGTTTTCAAGTATAAAAAACATGTTTTAGAACTAAAAATATTTCAGCAGTAATGATTTTGACTTCAAGATGAAGGAAAAAATATGAAATAGAAGCAATCAGCTCGTACAGTTAGTAAACTATTAACTAAAAATGACAATAAAAACATGATGATGAGAAACATCCACATCAGGAAGCAACTCGCTCACCATGTTTTAAGTTCATGGCTACAATCAGAACTCTAATACTGCTCACATTCATAAACTTAAGAAAACAAACTTTTAAAAAAAACTTTAAAAGCAGTTTGGTCAGAAAAATCAGTTTACTATCACATCCCTTCTCCTGTTAATTATGAGGGCTGATTTTTATTAACTTACTTTTTAAAGTATTCGCTCTAACAGAAAACCTGCTAGACAAGGCTGAAAGTGGGTCTTATCTTACTGACGTATCAGAAGATGTTTTCCAGTTTTAGATGTTTTGATAAAAGGCTTCACTCCTTTAGACTCAAGGACTTTAGACTGATTCATTTTTTGAGAAACTATCTCTTTTGTCTGTGAGAATCTCTGCCTGAGCTTCATAAGTAATTAGTGAAAACCTGTGTGAGCAGAACAGGCAGGAACATTGACAAGACTGTATTTGTTTTCCCTTGCAAGGTGTTAGTAAATACTGGCCTAAATGAAAAACACCAGATCTTGTTAAATCAGCCTTAGACAGACTTTTTGTTTACTAAAAACAGCAGTCCTGTACCTGATGGAAAATGAGACAAAAAAGTCTAAGTAAAACTTCCAAAGAAAACCAATAAGAACTGTTCAAACATACCTGATGTGATCAAGCTGATGAATGTGATCCAGCATCCTCTGAACATCATTTTCAGATACATCCCCACTGAGGTTCACCACAGCTTCATTGATCGTCTCTGGGGAGAAGTCACTGAAGCAGCTGATGAAAGACACAGGTCATTTCTTCACAGGTTGGTTTAGATCAGTACATTAAATAGTACCACAGTGCCTTATAAGGGTACTTAAAATCTTTTTTTTCTGTATATTTTTTATACTCATACATTTCTTTTTATTCTCATAAACAACCGTATTTTTTTGTATCTTTTTACATTTTTTACACAAACTATGAGTTAAAAATAACAACAGAAAAACAGTAGGTAATTGTGAAGCAAAAGGAGTAGGATTCATTCACTGGAAAAACTATCTAGAAATAAGTAAAAATATATAAAATTAAGTGTTTTTACCCTAAATTTGAGTAAGTAAATGAGATAATTTGCCAATAGAATAAGCATTTTTACTTTTATAATAAGATAATTAGATAATATGCACTTGAAATAAGACAATCCAACTGAGTTTTCTTATTTTAAATGTAAATTGTCTTGTTTCATTGGCAAAATGTCTCTATTACCTCCTCAATCCAAGAAAAAATGCATTTATTTTAAGAAAAAAAAATGACTTATCCAGATTTAGATTTTTTCCAGTGTTATTCTAAATTTTTTCTTATATAAAACTTTTAAAACCACCTAATTTATTTATAATCCAATTAATTTAGTCTGATACATATGAAGAATATCCTGCATAAATAACTGCTGTCATCAGTCAACAAATTAGAAAATAACTGTTGGTTAAAATTCTTTGCATAACTCTTGTATAGTTTAGTGTTGCTGTCACTGTTGTTAGAGTTAATGAGAAGGGATGAGATAAATAATAGAAAATCAAACGGGGACAATAAAAGTGGCATTTACAGGGAAAGTGCAAAACTGGGTTAGCAGAAGGTTTTGCATAGTTATACCTCAGCTGATTGTGCTCCAATCCTCAGCTTTTTTGATATCTGAAACCAGGCTAAAATTGTTTAACTTTAGGAGCATCATTTATTTCAGGGTATATTTTTGAAGTGGATTCAGTTTTCTTTCTTAACTTTTTTTTTTATTCTTTATAATAAGCTGCAGCTTTAGCAAACATTTAAAGACTTGTATATATATATTTTATTTTTCATTTGGTTTAATTTCATAAAAAGTTTTCTTTAAGGAACTGACAGCTTCATCAATTTTCGAAATAATCGTTTGTTTCAGCCCTAACTGTTATATTGTTATTGTGAAGTTTAATTAATAGCTCATATATTCACCTGAGAGCTATTTATCTATTTTTATTGTATTTTGAATAGGCCTATACGCTCATATGTCTTTTGTTCAAAAATTTTTCACAGCACCCCCAGTTCAAAATCACTTCCAGCTGCCCTGTTTATATCTACATTGTGGGATCATTCTCTTAACTATATTTGACTCAAATGTTTGATTTAAGGCTGCCATCTAGTGGACTGTTGCAGGTATTGTGAAAAGTTGGTTGTTTAAAATTAACCATATATTTTTATTTTTTAATGGAAGCTTGTTTTGAGTCTTTATTACATAAACCATGCATAATCACGCAGAGATGATGCACTTTTAAATCCTGCACCTCAAAGTTAACTGAAGAATAGAAAAACCAAACCAGAACTAATGAAATCCTTAACATTATAAAAATAAAATCACCATTAAAACTAATTCAATGAATTAGAAACAAAAAGAGTCAAAACTAAATAAAACAAAACTATTACAATACAACCTCAAAGTATTACAATCTTGGTCTGAGATTTTAAATCCTAATAAATCACAGAAGTTTCATTTAACAAAATGTCAAATAAATTAAGGGGTATAAATACACGGTCTTATCTTAAGACAAGATGTTACCTTTTTTCCATCTTCTCGCAGATTTTCTTGGAGGTCTGGATATATCTCTCCAGCTGATATGCCAATACATCCAAATTCTGAAGTTTGGGGAGGAAGAAGACGGCTGCGTCTCTTTTAAACACCAAGAGGAGCGGGCAGATGAGACGTGCAGCTGTGATGGTAGCCTGAACGTGGTCGGTGCAGATGTCGCCGGCTAGGTGTAACACCTGGCTCTCTGTGAACACATGCAGTGAGGTGACCGCCAGCTTCTCCACTGCATCCAGGAAGCAGTCGAGCTTCTCCAGGGCGTCCAGCGTGTCGTTCAGCACCTCAGACAGCTCACTCTCCAGCTCTGCTAACTTGCTTTCTGACGTCACACCACTGAATTTACTCTTAAAATAATCAACAAAGGCGTTCCCTTTGTCCTGTGACTGTGTGACATGGCTGATACCCAGATTAATCTTTTCAGCCCTTTCCTTTATGTCCCTCATCATTACTAACTCAGTCTCCCTCGACACCATCCATTTAGAGAACATCTCACAGAATTCCCTCACAAGCTCCATGTGGGCGAGAGTATCTGTGACATAGCGCGTCAAGGACTCCTGTAGTTCCTCCCTGTAAAACAAGGTGCCATATAAATTTAACATTTAACTGCAAAAAACAATAACTTGAAAAGAAAAAAATCAGAGGATTTTTACATTTGCTAAAATAATCTATGCAAAAGTCTGCAGTCATTCATCCTGCAGGTTTAGTTAAACAAAACTGGCCTTTTTATGCCTTAGCTAAATTTGGAATACATTTAAAAGTGTATGGCACAAAACTCTTTCCTGTAGTGGTGAAACTATGAGAAAAAATACAAATAGACTTCAATAACAGAGGCTCCTAATGTTTTAGACATCACAAGGCCTACTGGTGGGAAAAATTGTCTCTAAAGGCGCATTTAAGCAACATTCTTGGAATGTCTAACCACTCGCTTCAGTGGCACAATCCCCAACCTTTGTTACCTGGGTGTGGCTTTCCAGATCCTTATAAAACAGAAGCTACTATTACATGGAAACATATAGGGCTGCCAACTCCTTGAAATAATAAATAAGGGACATGTCTGGGCCAGACATTGTCTTATTTGACTGAAACGTAAATAAATAAAATCATTATTTTTGTTTTTCTTAACAGGACAGTTCCCATTTCCAAAGGTTGACTGGTAACCCTAATCCCAGCAGCTCTATAAAAATGTCTTCCTTCTGTTCTGAACACAAACATAGCTCTGATAGTAAATTTGTATATGTTGAATTTAGCTTTATTTGGGATTTAGTCAAAGTTTCAAAAGGATGGACATTACGTGGAATAGAAACACCAATAACCTATCAACAGCAGCAGAAAAGCAGCACTGCTAAATTCCAACACATTCACATCAGTCTTATCATTTCCTTGTTTGATCTGCGGATTTTTCAACTCTTAAAAGGTCTGCAAACGCGGCTCATGTTTCCTCTTTAAGCAGGCAAG